ACAGTCAAATTGAATTTCCTATGAAATGAATAAAAAAGATGAAGAGAACAGAGTCATTAGTAAAAAAATCCTTTTTCAGAAAAGTGTATAGTTCTTATTAATTTTTTATATTAAAAGCTTAGTGCCTGAGCTGGCAAGATTGCTCAGTGATTAGAGACATTTGCCACCATACATGGTGACCTGAGTTGCATAACTGGGACCTGCAGGATGGAAGGAAAAAAGCAACTCCCACAAGTTGTCCTCTGACCTCCACAAAGAGTACAAACACACACATACAAACCAAAACAATAAGTAAATAAGTAACACATAGATAAATGTGAAAAAATTGAATGCTTAATGCATTCTCAGTTTATCATTTCATATTTAAGTGATGCAAATAGATTCTCCTGTATTTAATAGTGTAAATGAAAGATGTGAGACCCACAGCTTATTGATTTCATTAGAATGTGAAATGAATAAATATTTGATTGTCATCAATTCAGCATCAGTGGTGCCTAGTCCATTGCATTCTTTCTTTTCTGAATTTTTTTTGAAGCCTTTGATGACCAATAAAAACATACCAGTTATATATATATATATATATATATATATATATATATATATATATTCTAATTTTCTTCCATATTTTTAAGCATTGATGTTTGAAAAAACCTTTCAGAAGAAAGTTTTAGAAATATTCATCATCCCAGTCATGGCGGCACACACCTTTAATTCCAGCACTTGGGAGGCAGAGGAAGGTGATCCTCTGTGAGTTGGAGGTCAGCCTGGTCTACATAGCGAGTTGCAGGCCAGCTGAGGCTACAGGAAGATGGTCTCAAAAAGACAAAAAGTAAATAAATAAATAGTCATCAAATAATAGATGTTTGTTGTGTGTATTACATATTGTGTATATTATATATTGTGTGTATTACAAATTGATGTTTCCTAAATTTGTGAAAATCAATAATACTAGAAATAACAATTATCATTTTAAGCCTTTTTATACCAAAATTTGCATTGCCCTTTAATACTTGACTTTACAGCAGTGATTCTCTTCTGAACAATATTAATATTTATCAATAAGTTGCACAGATTGTATATTTTACATATAATTTCCAATATAAACTTTCAAAATTTTGTCTTCATGCAATTTTTAAGATTGTTTTTAGGTTTTATTACATTTAATTTTTTTTGTTTCTGTTATCTTTTGTGAGACAGGTCACCCTGTAGTCCCTACTGGCCTGAAAATCACTATGTAGACTAGACTGGCTTTGGTCTCAGAGTTATGCCTACCTTTGCCTCCAGAGTGCTATAATCAAAGGCCCGTGCCGCCATTCCGTAACTAGCCTGCATTTAAATTTTTAAATAGTATGTTTTCAAATTGCAAATTTGGTGATATTATTCTGCTATTAACTTTCTGTTCTTTGTCAAGAGACAGTGCTTATCTGACTTACATAGAATATATTACTGCTTTCCGTTTTCTCTGGGACTTTAGATTCTGGCTCAAAAGGTGTTCCAAATTGAAACATACCATTATCTATTTAACCTGCTAGGTATCTTTTTCAAAAATTTTTAAATTCTTTTCATTGAATTTTTGTGAATTTAATACAGAACATCTCAATCAATCTTAATCATCTTTATACCCCAGTCCCCAATGGCACCCTCCCCCGCCCCTGGAATCTATACATTCTGTCATTTGTGTTAAGGCCTATTGTATCAAGTTAGTGTCTCCAGACATTCCTCAGTGCAAGTTCATCTACTGAGGTCTAGTCAGCCTATATAGAGTGCCTCGCTTTAGGAAGATCAGCTCTTCCTCACCTAGCAGTAATCAGTTGCCAATATTTCTTCAGCTGAGATTGGGGTCTGCTGTCCTTTTCCCCAGTTCTATGCTGAGTTTTTGTCTGCCTGTGTTTGCATGGGACTTGTGTATGCTGACACCATTGATGTAGATTCATATAAACAGGGTCCCAGGAGCTTATAGGACTCTTATTTCCATATGGCCATGCACCTCCTCCTCAGTTCTTACAATCTTCCCCTTCTTCCACAATGCTCCCTGAGGCCCGGTGGGTGAAGTTTAATATAGGAGTCCTGTCAAAGGATCAGCATTCAGCAGACTCTTGATCTCTATGCTTTGGCCATTAGTGACCTTCTGTGTTCTGGGCCCTCTGTTGTCACCAATCCTTCACATTTTTCCAGTGGTTACTCCATTTCAGTGGTTGGGACTGGATAGGCAGGCAACACTCCACTTCTCAGGGCATAGACATAGCAATTAGTGTTCTGTACACTTAGACTATTGTTTTTGCACATTTTCAATTGCATATTTTATTTCAGAGTTTTGCGTGAAAGATTTTAATAAATATCCTACCAGAAAACAAAATGATAATAAAAATACTTCTATTCATAAAAAGCATTTTATGTCTATCTAAATATGCTGAGCAAACTACTTACTATAGTGTGCAAAATTTCAACTGTAAGCTATTTTAGCTCCACATCAATATTGGAACTGATTACTATATGTGACAAAGACAAGATTCAATTAACTCTGAATATTTTTTAATGTATATCTTTGTTTAATGTTAAATCAAGAGTGAAGTTTATATTTTACTGACACTTTTTTCCTGTCCTAATCTCTGACATTTATAAATGAATTATTTATACTCAAAAATGTATCATCTGATAACATTCCTTGGTGCAAAATCCAGACTTAATACATAAAGTAGGGTAGAGTAATTGGGGAAATCAATTAATCATGTTTATCTTCAAAAAAATCTTTTGACACCATACCTTCCTCATGGCCTTTTTCATCTCTGTATTTCTCAGAGTATAAATGAGGGGGTTGAACATGGGAGCGATGATGGTGTAAAACAGGGCAAATATTTTGTCCCCAGGTAGTGTAGTAGGAGGTCTAAGGTAGGCAAAAATGGAAGGCCCAAAGAATAAGATCACCACAGTTATATGAGAGCCACAGGTAGAAAGAGCTTTGTGTCTCCCCTCTGCTGAGTGATTCCTTAATGAGAACAATATAATAGCATAAGACCCTAACAGGATAATAAAGGTGATCAAGGCGACCATTCCCGAATTGGCTACCATAAAAATACCAGTGATGTGGCTGTCAGTACAAGCAATTTTCAACAAAGGAAAAATGTCGCAGAAGTAATGATCAATTTCACCAAGACCACAGAAGGGCAAGCAGATTATCATACAAATTTGAGAAAAAGAATGTGCAGCCCCACCAGCCCAAGAAGCCAAGATCAGGGCATTGCATCTGGTTCTATTCATGATAACCATGTAGTGCAGAGGCTTGCAGATGGCAACATAGCGATCAAAGGCCATGGTTGTCAGGATTAAGACTTCTATCAGTCCAAAGAAGTGCATAACAAAAACCTGTAACATACAGTTCGTATAAGAGATGGTTTTACTTCCCACCAGAAGATCTCCAATCAACTTGGGTGTCACACAGGAGGTGTAACAGATGTCCATAGATGATAAGTGACTAAGGAAATAGTACATTGGTTGGTTCAAAAGAGAACTGTATCTAATTGAGATAAGGATCAGCAGGTTTCCAGACAAGATGGCAAGGTAGCAGAATAGGAAGAACACAAAGCAAAATACTTGGATGCTTGGGTTAGAAGAAAGACCCATGAGAATGAATTCTGATGTGTTCCTCTGACATTCCATTTATTGTGAACTCTGAAGAAATAATATATATTGAAAAGGTTAATTCAGTGAAAATAATTAAGATATTATCATAATCACATAAAAGCATAAACATATCATAAATGTTACTCTAATCTTAAAAGGTATTTTGGAAATGGATATCTTAATTATATTTGTTGCTATCAATGATAACTAATTTCTCTAACATCATTTTTCTTTTCCTTACACTTTCAAAGATTCTGTCATACTGGTAAGACCAAAAATATACTTCATTAAATTTTTTTAAAAATAACTAATTAATGTAACTCTTTTCCAAAGAAAAGTTCTACAGTTGTTATTCATAGCATTAAGAAGGAGGAGAATTAGGGATGGAGGGATGGCTCAGCTTTTAAGAACATTGGCTGCTTTTGCAAAGGACTTATGTTCAGTTCTCAACATCCACATGGCAGCTAACAACCATCTATAATTCCAGTTCCCGTGGATCCAACACCCTATTCTTGCCTTTGTAGGCATTGAATGAAATGGGTGCACTTACATAGTCAGGGAGAATAATATTATACATTAAATAAAAATAGATAAATATTTAAAAAAATATAAACAGGAAGACAGCATTATGATAAAGTGCAAGAAATTTATTTCATTTACAGTTTTTAATTACAGTCTTTATTAATAATATTGTTTTAAATTTAGAAATTGTTCTCTTTTCCTTGCATGAAACAGAAAAAATCTCTGAATTTTCTTCAGACATGTGTTCCAGGAATGTCCTTTTTAAAACTGTACATCCATTTCCATGCAGGTGTGCATAAAAAGGATGTGTGTAGTGAGTCTAACTACTACCATAGTCATGAGTCCTGAAATTGGGGTCTCTCAGCTCACTTAGATATGACACTGCAACTGTAAACTGTGTGGAAATAATTACACTATTTGAAGATTTCCCTTCATAACAATGACTGTGAGTATTCCACTCTGTGTATTCATGAAAATCTTCAAATCTTTCCTGACAGCATTGTTAGAACAGCTTCAGAGACAATTTCAGGCAAGAAGAATTTTTGTCAGGGAATAAAATGTCATTAAAAAGCTTCCAAGTCATTAAACACATAAATGAAGAAGACTGTATGCTATAACATTAGGGAAAGAAGAAAGAAAATGAATAGAGTAAAATAAAAATAAATGACAAACCATTTTGCAGAAGTGTTTTCTACATATCTGAAAATAGTTGGGTTACATGGATATATAAGATAACCCTATATTTTCTACCATGAGAAATAACATGAATTGAAATGTGTTATTTTTGTTTCAATTATTGATATTTTGATTTTGTATAAAAGATGGTACAAATAATAAATAAGCTTTTCAGATAAGCATGAAATGGTTGTTAATCATCTAGGCTGAAATTTGAGAGTAGTGAATTTTATCTGCATATATTTTTCCTATATTTAACTTTTGTTAATATTTATGATGAACATCATAAACCAAATGCACTTTTATTTTAATTTCCTTGTTGAGCATTCTGTCTTCACTTGCACAATTCTCCGAAATTCTCTACTTCATCATCAATGCAACTATCACTTGTATCCTTCAGGAAAACAGGCAGTTGTATGTGAAATAAAGCTGTGTAATCTATTGTGCTAATGAAATACAAAACCAAGAATTATTTTTTTCCTTGTTCTCTTCTTTATTTGATGAATTGATTAATAACTGTCTAATATCATCTAAAAGTAAACATATGGCTCAATAACTAATTCTGAAATAATTTAAAAAATCAAATGTGACATGCTTCAAATGGGCAATTGCAACAAACAGATTGCAGTCACTGTTTGGCTACAAAATGAAATTCATACAATAGTATTATTGCTACCTGCATAATTTATGAATACCTAAGTTTAAATAGTGAGCATTTTCATACTATCAAAGCTAAGTATAAGAACCAGTGTCAACCTTTCTTAATATCACTGAACAGCTTTGCTTACCCCCCAACATATTATCAGTTAAGTAACGCAACACACTTTATTATGTAATTTTGTGTGTCTTCACTGTGTGCTTTCATGATAATCTTATTTTTGTTTAATTTCAATGAATCTAGAAAGCTTTAGGAAAGTGGTCTTTTGAAAACTGCATAGCTTATCAAAGGTAACAAAGTAAAGACTGATGAAAATGTAAACATCTTATTTCAAAATGTATTTATCCAAAGCTTAAATAGTATTTGAAATGCACAAGATTATCAAACATTGTAAAAATTATTACTTAACCTTCCTCAAATTCTGAAGATCACATCTGGATGTCACTCTTAAAATAGCAGAATAGCTGTCAAGAATATCTTTGGACTGAAACAAGGACGAAAGCAGTGATTGGCCGTATGTCAGTTGCAGATGGTCTTTGAGGCAGTTTTAGGTTAATCAGAAAAGTTTTCTTGGGAATATATCTTCTGACCTCTTTGCTAACCTTTTCCTGGCATGTATAAATAAAATAAAGAAAAAGTAATTTTTAACATCTAAGAAATTCTGGGTCTTTTTCAAAAAATATCATTATGAGTTTCTTCCTCCCCTTTCAGAAGAATAGAGTAATTGTTTTGTAAGGAGATTGAAGATTTAAATGCCCCTAGATATTCGGCTACATTCAGAGTAAATCCATTCATTCAACAAGAAAAATAATCTAAGTTTGTAATTGCTAATGTAACTTCCTGGCACCTGCCCCTACTCTAAATTTAGTAAGGATATTTTGAAAGGTTTTCAAACCAGCGTGAACATGTGTGCTTAAATGAGCGACAGTATTCTCAGTGGAGCATTTCTCAAACTAGTTCCACAAAATTGCCCTGCTGAGTTGGCCAAACCTTTATCAATACTGCTGGGAATTTTTAGGCTATATACTTTCCAGTTTTACAATACTGTGCATTTTGTCTCTAGAAGTGAGTTCTATTATTCATGTCTAACGAGGCTCAAAAAATTATGATTTTTTAATATAATTTCCTTCTTTGGAAACAAGGAATTATGGATCACCATATAGAGGCATTGAATTTTCTTTGGAGAATCTTTGCATTTCCGGAAACTAGAGATAAAAAATAAAATCATTACGTTCTACCACCCCTCCAAGGTAGCCTCTCCCCAACTCACCAACAGCTGCTTGTTACTTTCTTGACCTCTCTGAATTTTCAAATTAAGCATGCATATCTAAGACTTCAAATGTATCATCCAGGTATGAGAAGGAGCATATGCCATTTGTCCTTCTCAGTCTGGATTACCTCACTCAAGATAATTCTTTCCAATTCCATTTATTTACCAGCAAATTAAATAATTTTATTTTTAAAGGGCTGAACAGTATACCATTGTACATATGGATCACATCTTCATCATTAATTAATCAGCTGATGGGCATCTAGGTCGTTTCCAATTTCTGACTACTATGAAAAGGGCAGCAATTACCATGGATATGAACTCAGAGCAACAGTGACAGCATGCATAAGTCCCATGAAAGCTCAAACCACAAAAAAAATCCCAGCATAGACAGAAAGAAGTGGATAAGAAATTCCCATCCCAACTAAGGGAACTGTTACAACAGATGCTTACTGGTAGGGGCAGAAACAATCTCTTTCAAGCATGGGATGGGTCCAGTGGATGGACCCGCAATGAAGGACATTTGAGGACAAAATTAGATTCTATAGGGTACACACACACACACACACACACACACACACACACACACAAATGTGTACATGTATATGGAAATAGAGGCGTTCAGGCCACTGGGTACTTGGTCATGTAAACTTACAACAATTTTGACAGCATGTACAACATCCATGCTGACTCAACCAGTCAAAAATCTAGCATAGAGTGAGGGAAATGCTAATTGGACGCTGAGCATCTAAAACTAAGTTCACTAACTAAATCTCATTTCCCTCATATGTATCTTGGGTCTGGGAACTCCACTACGGTGATGAAAAGCTGACAGAAACAATGGTCGTATAACATCTCAGAAAATCAGTAACTTATCTCTTCTATATCAGATTTATCCATTTCCCCTACCACCAAAAAGATATTTTTTAAATTTATGCTATGCCAATTCGGTAAGCATTTAAAATTTGTAATTTGACTTAAATACTAAATGATATTCATGCAAGCACTTCCTGTTTTAGTCAGGTTTCTCTAAAGGAACAGAACCATTAGAATGAACACACACACACACACACACACACACACACACACACACAATCCTGTAAGATTAGTTTACAGGATTGAGTCTGAGTAGTCTAACAATGGCTGCACTGGGGAAGCTGAGATTCTGGTAGTTGCTCAGTCCACAAAGCTGGATGTCTCAGAAGTCCCAATCTGGTGCTGAAGGTCTGACAGATTCCAGGGGATCTGCTAATCTTCCATTGATGTTGGAATCAGAAGGAGCTGATCACAGCAGTAAGACAAACTCTCCAGTGGCAGAGAGGGCAAACAGCAAAAGGCAAATCCCCTCTTCAGCCATGACCTTTTATATAGGCTGCTGTTCGAAGGTAACACCCACATTTAGGTTGGGTCTTCCAGATTACAAGAAAGTATCTCACTTCAGTTAATCCTAGATCCAGTCAAGTTGACACTCAAGATTAGCCATCACACTTCTGTTACTCATTAATAGAAAAAAAAATGAGACAATAAACTGCTTTTTTTGGTCTTTTTTTGAGAGAGGGTCTCCCTATAGACCCAGGTAGCCTGGAACTCATTGTGTAGACCAGGCTGACCATGAACTCACGGAGACCTGAATGCCTCTGCCTCCTGTGCTGAGATTAAAGGCCTGAGCCACCACACCTGGCTCAATAAATTACTTCTTAAAGAACATATAAGTTTTTCAAAATAATATGAAATAAATTTATGCTTTATAATATATTCAGAAATAAAATGGGTAACAGTAATATAGGAAGCTAGGAAGGAGGAAAGTAGATGCACAGAACAGAACGTGAAATATCTGTGATAACTTAAAGTTGCAAATAGTAAACCGCAAATAAAGGTATAGAAAAAGAACCAAATAACAATTGATAGGCA